GTGTTGCTGGAGGGGAGGGGCACCCACCCCAGCACTACCCAGGCTCAAAACCTGCTTAGCTTTCGAGATCTGACAATAATTTTACCGCAGCGTACCAGACCAACCACCCCGCGTTATAGATGGGAACACCGCAGCAGTTGATTGGCAGGTCGCGTGTGGTTAGGGAAAAATGTGGGCACTCCGACCTCTTCCAAAATTTCGGGCCAGCGTGCAAGAGTACACCAAATACGTTCACTGGACGAGCTCTCGGGAGCTCTGCCTATAGCGGAGGCCAGTGGTGGAGCGAGCGAGCACTTGCAGGGCTGCACCTCTACCTCGACCAGCGACGGTTGAAGCGTGGCGCTCACGCGCGTCTGATCTTTCCAGACACCCTGTCCCTGGGTTTTGGAGTGGCGAACACGTGCGGATGTCACTGACGTGAGCTCAGCCAATGTCACCGAAATCAATTATGTCCATTGAAAGTGGAGATAGGCATGGGCCATGTGTCCTTTTCCATGGAGACGTTTCGTTGGTTTTTCGTTGTCCATGAATGCTTCACGGTTATATTTCTCAAAAAGGTATGCCAGAGAACAACACCGACATGGACCAGGCAGCAGCAGCAGTCGCAGTGATTAAGCATTTCGCAAAGCTTCGCTGCAAGAAAGTATCACGTCAAGATTCCCTTTGGGACACGCTTGGAGTTCACAGGTTTGCCTGTCTTTGTTGCCATTCAGTGTGATGTTTGATCAAAAGCAACTTACATTATCATATTCATCACAGCCCAGGGATTTATGTAAAGTCTGAATATTGACCAACGTTGCCGGAGGAAAGTTGAAACTTTATCTAAAGCGACGTGTGCACACACACAAAACTGAGTCACAAGAGTTTTACGCAGAGCCCTACAAACTCAGACATTTCATTTCATGTCGGAATAAAATTCCACGTACTTCAATTGGAATTATCGCACCGACATTCGCTTTGCTAAACGCGAATGTTTTATAAGGTGTGTCTGCATACCTGTCAACCCTGTATCAGTGCGTACCTTATTGCAGACCATTTCAGACCTTATTGGTCACCTCGTGCCCTTATAAATCTCAACGTTCATCCTACAAAGTCCCATCACAAGGGAGAAACACAAACAGACTAAACAATAGTAAAGTATAAAGGTGTCAGTCTTTGTACCAGTTGAAAGGGTCAAAACCTATTACTATATTTTGCCACTGGTAAAGGAGGTCTCAGTGTAAATGCTTACCCCGAAATCTCAATACTCTGATAGTGCGCTGTTTTTGAGTCGTACGCCTTTTGGCGTCATCTGGTCCAACACCAATGGAGACTAGGCTCTAAGAAAAGCTGTCTCGGGTGTGGCCCAATCAACTTCAAGGACCGTGCATATCATTATCATTATCAGAGTTGTTTCTTTTTGTTTGCATTTTGACTGCTTGTGTTGTGGTTATTGCAAACATGATGCCTTGTATAAAGGTGTCAGTTTTTGTACCAGTTGAAAGGGTAAAAACCTATTACTATATTTTGCCACTGGTAAAGGAGATGTCTCATAGTGTAGACTATGCAATGTTGTTGCACGTATTGAAACGGCTGTGCGCCGTATGGACCTGAAAACTTAATTTCCCTGTACAAGAATACGGGTAAATCGTATGGGTTGGCAGCTATGTGTCTGTATATAAATTTATACATTATTGTATAAACTCTTTGGCTGCCATTGCACCTTCCATATAAGCTGATAACTCATGAAACAAACAGATGCAAGTGCCGTGTACTATCTTCTAATTCCACAGTACAACCACCAATCGTTTCTTCTCTGAAACCAAACGAAACTCCGTCTACTCCGATCGTATCAATCGCCAAATTCTCCCGATTCGAATGGTCACATTTTGCCGTGTATTTGAGAGCAAAACGTTGGGGGGGGGGGTGCATCTTAGGAACGTGGCAGGTCTTCTTCTTCCGTATGGCTGATGTACTGCTACTAAACGACTTCACATTTTTTAAATTGTATTTTACCAGGTTAAGGACCACTGATCTATATTGGTATTTTTTAATAAGCCACCTGACCACACATGATAGCTCAACGAAGTGGCTTATTGCGTGGACATTTGTCGTAACCAAATACTCTTAAAGGCGTTTCTCTGCAAGCGGATGCGGAGGCAACAACCACAATTTCACTTTCGGGTGGTCAATCCGGACAACCGCGGTCAAGGAGCAGCGGATTATTATCGCGGCCTGGAAGCGTATTATTCTTGGTTCTTTCGGTAAAGTCACGTAGAATGGAAATAATAAAATAATAAAAGTAAAACATTTTAAAATAATTCAGCCGTCTGGCTGCTTCCGTTGTGGCCGAAACGTCGTGAGAATTGTTTTATTATGTTTTATTTTATTTTATTATTTCCATTCTACGTGACTTTACCGAAAGAACCAAGAAGATGAATCCCTGCAGTCACGAAAGCTTTAAATCGAAATTTAAGCGTATTATTGTTAAGTAATACACCTTACAATAGTATGACTTGTAAAGACATCGCATACGAATTAGCTGTGATTAACAATCTATCGTTAAATAATTACACCCCCCCCCCACTTTCCTTCCCGCACCTGTTTGGAGCACAATGATGATGCCATCTTGCTCTCGCTTTAAGACGGCAAGTAAGGTGGATCTATGAGTATCACTCGAATGTCTGCAACGTGGTAGGTGACCCCTGTGTGACCAGATTGGTAAAACCTTATTGACACACCGGGCGCAAGTTTGCGGTGCTTCTTACTTTCCACAGCATCTTGTAAACCAGAGAATGCGATATATTTTAGGTTTCATCTACCATGACTCGCATTAAAGTCACTGATATCACCCAGCTTCTTATAAATCATTGGCACTTCAACACCACGAATTCACTGCTACGAATGCTCGGTTATGTAAGCGGAGAAACACGACACTGCAACGCTATTAGATTTGTGAAATCTGAGCATGAAGAATACGTCTTCTTGGTTCTTTCGGTAAAGTCACGTAGAAGGGAAATAATAAAATAATAAAACATAATAAAATACAATTCTCACGACGTTTCGTCCACAACACAAGCAGCCGTCCTCAGGTGAAGAACAGGGCTGTCGGAAATACAGCGTCTGGCTGAACAAAAAAATGAAGAATATGCTCTATCGCGTGTACGCGTATTTTTTTAGGATTTGCTGTGTATGCTATGTCAACTGTTAAAAAAAAATCATGTGCACCCATTCCGGGGCCAAGTGGGTTTGAAAATCCAATATTCCATCTCTCGTGACATGATCAGCCTGCCAGTAACACACACGCACGCGAACGCTGTGCCTGGTCACCGATGCAATGTGATGCATTCAACATGTGTCGGATAAAAATGGCTGGCAATGCATAAATAAACATTGCAATAACAACATAGCTTACATTTCCACGTGTCGAATACAATAACAAGAAAATGAAGGCGCAGCCATGCAATTGCTTGTGCACGCCACTTCTTTCAAGAGGGTCCCTACGAGACGGCAGTTATATGGAAGCCCTCTAGCTATTATTTTCCTACTCTTCCATGCCTCCCCAGATGTAATAGAAGAAGTAGAAGTACCCACAATTTACTCCACCATACGCGATTTGCCGATTGACTCATTGCGGTATACCCATTTATACTTCTGGGTGGACAGATGTGGGGGGAGTTTGAGAAACGTGGCCCCGTTGTTTGAACGACCGCTTCGCGAGATCGAATCTAACCGGTGACTTCTGGATTGCAAGGCCATTGTGCTCACCGTTTGCACCACGGTATTATTTCACATGTATGTACGTTGAACTTCTTTCGCACCGTGCGTAGCCAACCGTCCTAATTGGAGGTGCGGGGGGAGGACAACAGACTAAACACAAAAAGCAGTTCTAAAAGAAACGAGTTTGTCAATCTGGATGTAAAAGTGCATAGCTCTAGTAGCTTCCTAATATCGGAACGAAGAGCGTTCCAGACGGCCGCCGAAGCGCATCTGCAAGTGCGTGAAGAGGTGACCATCTTTGTTCGATGGCCAGCCACGAGCGGCTGCGAGGACGACCGGAGTTCACGTGGTGGTTGATGATCCTTGATAAGATCAGCGCAAGGTGTTGTAGTTCTTTAATGGCAAGCAATTTGTGTGTGATGAGTGCAACCTTTCATGTGCCTTTGTAATGTATTATACTTATGTTTATTTATTTATGTATAATGTCGCCATGCTCAAATAGCGCATTAGGCAGTCCAAATGTTCATTTGTAGCTTTTTAAACATGTGCCGGAAATTCCGCATTCCGATGGATTTTATTGATTTTCCATCGAAAAATATCTGCGGCTGCAAATCTCATAAAATTATCCTCACTCGGTGGTTACTAATTTTAACCTGCCATGGGGGGGATGGCAACCTTTACCAAGAATAAACAACCTCTGCCCTGTACCTTAATAAATATATCACTGAACGCAAACATTTCTCTGATTAAGGATTTGCATTCAACGGGAGATGACATCTCTCGGCAGCTCAGATCGCCTTCCACCACATCTCATCTCAACCACTCCAATGCCTCGCTACTTGTCGTCACAATATCAGAGGCATCTGCACCGTGCGTCCCTTATTATGCCTCCGCATGGCATCACACAGACGCGATCATACCATGTGTGCTTTACACGTAGAAATATGATCACTACATTCGGCATATGCTTTACGAACGATATCAAACTCGCCCTATAATTAGCACTAGCTGGCTGATGCTCTGCCACAGACCGTAGTCATTAGATCACTTACAGAGTTTTGGATTCTTGGTTCCGTGTACAGCAACTTCCGTGCGTGCTGTATTCGTGCATAAACATTGACACTTTACAGGCTGCGTATGCTTACCAAGCAATGCGTACTAGGCTGAATCCCAGTACAAATAACGAATAAATAATAAATATTTTACCAACTGCTCATGCATCTCAACGAAGTCGGCTGACAGCTGCCACCGTCGGCCCGTTTTTAGTGAATAAATAAAACCCCGGCGACTGCTCCGCGTACCTTTCGAGGAGGAACGGTGCGGTGAGATCTCCAGCTGAGCCTCTTCGAGATCTGCGCTCGTGGTGTTTGTCGCGCGCCTCGGCTTGAGAGAGACGCAGGCAGCGAGCGAACGACCTCTCTCCACGCCTTGTCCAAGCTCCGCAATTGCTCGCGAACAACTTTGCTCCGCCGAGTGACAGATGTTCACCGAAGCGCAGGAAGGGGTGGGGGGGGGGGTCTCAGCCTTTGCGGTGGGGGGAGTCGCTGTGGTCGAACAGTCGTCCAATCGGTGGTGGCGAGAACGCCGCTCAGCTGATGCCCCCGCTCCCTCTCGCCGCCACCCGCCCTGTCCTGAGAGCTGGGACGGATCCGATGCGTAAACCCCCCCCAGCAATGATATCACTGGAGTGCCAGCGACAAATATCGCCGTGCTTATTTCTGTCGCAATTGCCAGCAAACAACAACAACAAAACCGCGTAACATGTTGGATGCTGTCCACAGCGAAGTTGACGGTTCATTGGCAATCCGAAGGTGGCCGGGTTAGAGCGATCTCCTGGCGCGGCAGTTGAGACAAAGGGGCAGGTTTCTTGAAATTCCCCACCACCAGCCACTGTCAGCACCGCCAGCCTGTGTCCACCCAGCAGCGTGCACGGGTCCGCGACAGTTGAGCACGTAAGCTTTCTCAACCAACGTTATCCATAGCAAAGGTTTTTGTTAGTTAGATCGCGTAAATATGAATGTGTTAAATATCGATTTAAAGCTTTCGTGACTGCAGGGATTCATCTTCTTGGTTCTTTCGGTAAAGTCACGTAGAAGGGAAATAATAAAATAATAACATTTAAACATAATACTAATTATGTTTTATTTAAACATAATAATAATTATGTTTTATTTAAACATAATATTAAGAATTCTGTTTTATTTGTATTATTTTATTATTTCCCTTCTACGTGACTTTATCGAAATAACCAAGCAGATTAATCCCTGCAGTCATGAAAGCTTTAAATCGAAATTTATTAATAATTATATTTTATTTTTATTATTTTATTATTTCCCTTCTACGTGACTTTACCGAAAGAACCAAGAATATGAATGTGTCGTTTACCCACCACCACCCGACCACAGCCAATCCGTAAGGTTTGTCACACCGGTGTGCTGAAGTAGCAACGGACTGGCACGTTTTGTTTACGTGACAAACCATGCTAATTGGCTGTGTCGGGTGTTGGTGGGTTAACGTCACATTTTTTAAAAATTACACTTCAGAGTTTGTCGACCGGCACAAGTCCCTTGTGGTGGGGTCAACTGTGAGCCACTTCCACCTCTTCTCCAGCTATCTGGCCGTCGTGGAAGAGTAGGCCAAATATCCTCTCGAGGGGCTATCCAGAGCTAACTTTTATTGGAAGCCCTTCCTTCGGCAGTGGTGTGAGCTAGAAATTGCAGGGCAGGTTTGCTGCGCGTGTACCTGTGAAATGTGTGTCGTTATTTCTCGCTGACAATTTTAACCGGGGAGTCGCTGCTACTGTGATTGCAGATAGATTGGCCTTGATGGGACGACATTACATGCGTTTGTGTCCAGGGGATGCTCCGTATGATGTCTATGATGTATTGCTATCACAGTCTCCATGCCACCCTCCTCCTGCCTTCTTGGACTGCCTCCAGTCGAACCCAATACGTGCTTGCATTTGCAGTAACGTCACTGAGAATTAATCGGTGCTACGCGGCAGCTAATTGGTGTAGTTCATCCACATCAGGTGTGTTCGTGACAGCTTGATGGCTGCAACATTAATTCCAAACCAGTAGAGGAAGTGTATTTATTTTGCTTGTTAGCTTTTACTTGACCTCGTTAATGAACTTATCCGTTTTCATCGGGTCAAAATTAAAAATGCTGTCGCGTTGCGTAGCAAACTTGTCATCGAGTCGAACACGCCGTGAAATGTTACACGAAGTGTCACGTACCCTCTTACAAGGTGGTATCTGCACACAGATACCAGCGAAGATTTATACTCCGCTCGTGTCCTGGGTTATTGTGATTTCGTCACAGTTTTTTTACGCAGTTCTGACGGTCACTGACACCAGTTAATCTGTGCCCAGCTTACCTGAGGAGGTTTATCTATTTTCTGTCACTTCACGTTAATCCGCAGTAGCATGACGGGTTAACGAATGGAATACAGTACCGAGCAAAAGTTAAACGCCACAGTATCTGATCTTCATATTACACCATGTGGATCATGATCTATTTAATTCCGAGCTACCAAACATACTGTATAGTTCAATATAGGATTATTACTCTTTGGTTCTTTCGGTAAAGTCACGTAGGTATAAAAATAAAATAAAACAAAATTTTTAAAATAAATATAACAAAACAAAAATGTTTTATTTAATTTTTCTACCTACGTGACTTTACCGAAATAACCAAGAGTATGGATTCCTGCAGTCACGAAAGCTTCAAATCAGGATTGATAAGCATATTATATGTACGTGTCATATGCATAGCACATGTGTGTTGCCTGACGTGGTACAACAAAATTCGAGGATTGAGTGCAGGTGTTTCTGTGCACATAAATCCAGTGTGCTCTTTACGTCACATTAACGTTCATAAATGGCAGGTAAAAAAAAGTTTACATTCTGAAACACGAGGTGTGGTTTTGTCGTAACGCGTAACGTGGGTAGCTGACCGCGCATTGCCATACATTACTTTGTAGCTTGTCGCGGCTGTGATGTGCGTGCGTTCGCGGTCGTTTTCGCGCGTTGATCGGCACGACGTCCGACGTTTCGTTCCACGTGCCGTGGTGCTTCCCGCGCGAAACGTTCCCCCTTTTTTGAAGAAAGCTCCCGGCGTGTGGAGCGAACCGTCAGACACGCCAACAACCCAGACGTACATGGGAGAGCCATCGTCATGTACCGTTTGTGTGTGTGTGTTTATTGTTTAAAGTGTCTACTCTCTAGTTGGGTTTGTCGACCATCACTGCAATGGAACACCGTGCTGTCACAGGTTCAAGTTCAAGTTCATTTATTAGGTATAGCCCTGTGAGCCATTCGGCTCTTCAATCGGGTGCAACCGCAACAAACAAAAAACAAAAACATGAACAAAAAACATCTTAAAGTGAATATGTGACTAAGTGCAAACAGAAAATCCAAGAAAAGACAGCAAAATATTGCAGAAAAAACACCGTACACCAACGCTGTGTGCACAAATCCCAGTGGGATGCAAGTCAAACAACAACAACAACAACAACAACCACAAGACAACTTAGATTAAGGCAATGAGTCTAACTCTGTAAGCACCGACAAGCCACAGTAGCACGACCGTGCCCATGCCATCCAAACTATGAGCCACATTGTACACCACTGTGATCTGTGCTTCCTCGACGGAGGAGGAACAACCAAACTACACGGACTCTCCCCTGAAGCCCCCTCCTCGCCTTTCGTATGTGTGTGTATGTGTGTTAACTTTCTTTGCCAGCCAGCCGTGCTAATCGGAGGTGCGGGAGACACCGAACTGAACACAAACAGCAGTTCTAAAGGAATGAGTTTCCAACATAGATGTAAAAGTGCATAGCTCCAGTGGCTTCCTAATATCCGAAGGAAGCGCGTTCAAGACGGCCACAGATGCGCATCAGAAAGCGCGCGCGATGCGGTGACCGCCTTTTGTTCGGTGGCAGCAGCCAAAGTCCGCTGCTGCTGCTGCGAGGATGAGCGGGTGAATTTCGATTTAAAGCTTTCGTGACTGCAGGGATTCATCTTCTTGGTTCTTTCGGTAAAGTCACGTAGAAGGGAAATAATAAAATAATACAAATTAAACATAATAAAATACGTGACTTTACCGAAAGAACCAAGAAGATAACCGGGGTGGTTTATGCTCCCTCGACGAGATCGGTAAGGTGCCTTTGTATTCTTAGGTTTTTTCGGTAAAGTCACGTAGGTAAAAAAGAAAAATAAAAATAATAAAAGTAAGAAACAGCAATCGTGCTGTGACGGTTCCACCTGACGACGGAAGCTTGTGTTGCCTCCGAAACGTCGTGATTTTTATTTTATTTTTTATTTTACTTTTATTAATTTAAATTTTTTTACCTACGTGACCTTACCGAAAAAAACCTAAGAATATGAATCCTTGCAGTCACGAAAGCTTCAAATCTAAGGTGCCTTTGGTTCATTTGCCACGAGCGCGCTGTGTGTAATGAGTGCGACCTTGTAATGTCGTGAGCCTCGACATTGGCGTTTAGCGCCTGGACATTTTGCCGTCCTCGTACGCAACGAGGCAAGGGGTGAAACCACCATTGGGACACTGACAAGCGACACGTCACAGACACTTGACGATGGCGTGTGTGTGTGTGCGTGTGCACGTGACCTCAGGACGTTGTAGTTTGCAATGCTTGTTGGCGTACACTTGCGCCGCACGCACTTGTTGTAACTCAAGTCGTGTACTCATCACACCTTTGAATCGCAATCTACTACAAGTGAATTTTCTTTTTAAATTAGAATTACATTTCTGTTCATAAAATGGTGCTAATCAAACAGATGCATAATGCCATCTGAAAGTGTGGGCTCGGCAAAATCAGTGTCTTAAGCAAGTTAATCAATCCAATCAAACCGACTGGAATTGCAACCAGCGGCTGTCCCAAGGTGCCCTCGTGCCGCAAGGCATTATTTTGTGTCATGAACATCGTTGCGTTTTGCCCTTGGATGGATAATAATCCAAGTGGGGTTCCATGCAGTTTATGAAATAAGGCCAGTTAAAAAGGGCAGCACAAAGATGCTCTGATATTTTTCCATTGTAACCAACCGCGTCCAATAATTATGTTAGCATACCAATTGTACGCCACACATTCGTGATCACATCGCACGAGAGAGAAAAAAAAGTAGTTTCCTACTCGGAAACTTTACATGAACGTGAATTGCTGGTGGAAGCGTCTGATTGCGATTTCTCCGATTACAAACTGCGCGCCGGCTCGCCTGGCACTTCGGAGTTGTTGATGTTTTTGGATACGATAACCTTAGTGCTGCCTTTTCAATCTCGGGCTCACATTTGTATTCGTATCCCCATCTGTCGCTCTGTTCTGCTCATATGGACCTCGGCGACGATACGCTGCCGCTCAAATCGCAAAGTGTTTGCTTTCTCTCTCTCTCTCTGTGTTGCCTCGTCCGTTATTTCCACGCCCGTCACG